AAATTAAATTAAATTAAATTAAATTAAATTAAATACATGTTACAAATCAGCATGTTAAAAAGTTAAGTTTGATAGCTATAGGAATAGCAGATGTTCTGAATCAGTATATTTTGTTTTTGAAGAAGCTGAGTGTTTTTTTTTCACATCTGGTTGGCACAAGAAGAGTTTATGGCTCCTAATAACTTCCTTTCAATTTTACAAAATTGTTTCAAAAAGGTGGTTTTTGCAGCAATGTCTTTGAAGAACCATTTTGGGATCCTCAAAGAACCTTCCAGTTAAAAGTTCTTAAAAGAACCATTATTTCATAGTATGAAGAACATTTTAATAAAAATTAACCTTTTTTTCGCTATAAAGAACCTTTAGTGCAATGGAAATGTTCCATGGATGTTAAAGGTTCTTCATGGAACCATCAATGCCAATGAAAAAAAAAAACTTTATTTTTTCAGAGTGTTGCGGACAATGAAATGAATATCTGCGGGGTTTCGCTGCTCAGAAACCCTGACAGAGACTCATACCTGTGAAATCAATGTCTTGAAGGGGTCACTGAGTTCAAAAACCAAAAGCGAGCTCCCAGAAATGAGGCAATAAGGAAGTGCACCGTGATGAAATCACCATGGTAACCGCATCACTCACCTCCTCCGTAATCTTGGACTTCTTCTTCAGGGTGAGCGACACCAGCTTGTGACGCACACTGCTCTTCTTGTGACTTTCAGTGTGAGAGTTCTGTAAGAGATGGACACAAATTGCCTCATGGATCATGAAAACATGCATTAACGCCGTCACATTTGCCCAAATGTATTTGCAAACGTGTCTTTCACCTCTCCTTCTCCCTGCAGAGCCTGCAGCTCTCTCTTGTAGGTCTTCTTGCCGAGCGTCTCGTAGATCTTGGTCATGACAGGGATCTTCTCGCTGCCATCGCTGATGGCCGTGTGATATTTGGGTTCTGGAAGGTCACCCATGAAGCGGAGAATCGTGATCCACACGGCCAGAGCCGCCTGCACGACCAGCAAATATTAGACAAACCTTTAGATACTAACAACCAAATGCTATCATATCATATTCAAGTAACTTAAGTCTCATACAAGTCATTTTCAAGTTAGTTAAAGTATGCAATATTTAGCTTTTATTTAGACAATATCTTTTAGAAAATATATTTTTTTACATCTGTATAAGTTCTTATACTGCATATGGTATTGGTGTGTGTGTGTTTCATTTTTAAAAAATATATTTCTTAAAATAATTTTTTATCAATTTACCTTTTATTGTGACAGTATTAAAAATGTATGTCTTTTTATATAGTATTTATATACTATACACTATATTTTATATAGTATAGTATTTATATTTTAATAAACATAAAATAAATATATTTAGTAAATATACTGTATATATATATAAATGTGTGTGTAAAATATTCAAATATTCAATATTGAACTATTTACCTTTTATTTTGACAGTATTTATTACTCATTTATATGTGTAAGATTTTATATAGAGTATTTATATATTTTTTTGATAAATATAAACTTATATATCTTTTAGAAAATATATTTTTTTACATCTGTATAAGTTCTTATACTGCATATGGTATTGGTGTGTGTGTGTTTCATTTTTAAAAAATATATTTCTTAAAATAATTTTTTATCAATTTACCTTTTATTGTGACAGTATTAAAAATGTATGTCTTTTTATATAGTATTTATATACTATACACTATATTTTATATAGTATAGTATTTATATTTTAATAAACATAAAATAAATATATTTAGTAAATATACTGTATATATATATAAATGTGTGTGTAAAATATTCAAATATTCAATATTGAACTATTTACCTTTTATTTTGACAGTATTTATTACTAATTTATATGTGTAAGATTTTATATAGAGTATTTATGTATTTATATATTTTTTTGATAAATATAAACTTATTAAATATAAATAAAAAATGTAGTTAAAGTTTTATTAATTTTGTTGTGTGTTTTAGTCATTTTTATTAGTTTTGTTTATGTCTATATAGTCCTTATTTTTATTTTTATTTCCATTTTATTTTTAGTTATTGTAGTACTTTAAAATAAAATGAGAAAAGATGCTTTGGGAACTAGCTGAAGTTTAAGACTTTTATATTTTCTTTTTATTTTATTTAATGTTTATTTCTAGTAATGAAAATGATTCTTTTTAGTTTTAATTTTAGTTAATAATAACCCCGACACACACATGTACTTATATACATTTTCTATATTTATTAAAACTTTATACATTGAATACCTTTCACATACAAACATTGGGTAAAATAATATTTTTTTTTCTATTTTACATTTTAAACTATTTTAACTGTTAAATCCACATATGTTGTGCTGAATAAACTGAATTAAACAGATTTATAATCAGCATTCCTCTCAACTCATCTTAGATGTTTTTACTGAGCTTGTCACAGTGCATTATTATGGGATCGCCTTCTCTACGAAGGACACATGCAATGCTGCCTTAAAAAAGCAGGGATCTTAGAAGACAGCATCGCTTCAGGGCTAAATAAACACTTCCTCAAATCTAAAGTATGTTTGAGAGTCAAAGGTCACATACCAACTGGTCTCCCTCGTCTTCGTGAAACAGTAAGGGCTGTTTGAGCGGGCGGCGCACATAAGTGTGTGTGGTCGTGCCCTGGAAATACGTGGCTGAAAACTTGGCAAATTTGTACTCCGACAAATCTTCCACATCATCCTCTGGGAGAGGAAGAGCTTCATCCAGGTCTTCCTCCTCGAGCTCCCTGTGCGTTCTCTCCAGGTCCTGAGGAAAACAAAATCACACACTGGAGCTCAGTTAATCAGCCCATTAATGAGATTCAGATGCACATCCTCACCTCAAACCCAGCCGGCGCTTGACCTTCCTGCCCAGGGAACGAGTTTGTGGTTCCCAAGAAACCGAACATCTTGTCCACCATATCAGAGTCGTTGACAGGCTCATGTCGCGCTTTCTCCATCTGGTCCAGCATCTCCTTTTTCCTTCGTGCCTCCTCTCGCTCCTTCTTCTCGCGCTCAGCGTCCTCTCGCGCCAGCTGTGCCAGTCGTTCCTGATGCTTCTTTTCGGCTTCTTCTTTGGCCTTCCTGGCGCTCATCTGATTCCTGAGCTTCTGCTCCTCCGCTAGTCGCATCTTCTCTGCCTCCAAACGCCGCCGGTACTGAGACGGATGGAAGAAGAGAGGGATGCGTTTGTCATAAACCATCCAACTTTTTCCAACACCCCATGATGCAAATTATGGGAGTAACTTACATTAAACTGCAAACAATCAGTGAAAGCTGTGCTCTATGAACGCAATAATAAGCAAGGTGACATTATTCTACTCACCCTTCAACCTTCGATGGAAATTTAGAAGTGTAAACGCATTAACAAATTAACTTCAACAGACCACGAATAACCAGATTAAATAACCTGATTATAACCTGATTATAACCGAAACGCTTGATTATTTCCTAAGCAATATTACAGACGTGTTAAATATCACTATAGCAATATATGTAAATGTTATGTAAGACTTATTACACGGCTCTGTGGAATACTTGATTCTGATTGGTCAATCACGCCATCCAGCGGTATGTTATTCCCAGATAACAACCGGCAAATTGAATAACACACCGCTCATCTGGGTACTACGAGTTATCTTGACCGGTACTACTTATATGCTTAACGAGTCACTCCGCTATCGTTGACTGTCTGGCGCCATCTTGTGACTGAAAACACTTAACCACCGCGTGTTACAATGGAAGACTTCAGCATTCATTTCAACATATATGGTAAAAACAAATCTTTTTAGCCGTGTAATAAGCGGGATAATGTACATCCAGCCGGTTGTTATCTCAGAATAAACCCTTTCAGGCTGATACAAGACCCCTCCGCTTCACGTCGGGGTCCTGATCACCCTGTCGGGGTTTATTCGGAGATAACAACCGGCTGGATGTACATTATCCCTTACATATGTTACATATGTAACCCCCTGGTGCTGCTTGTGTGTGTTTTTTTATTTCAATTAAATGAATGTACTATTCTTTAGTTTGATAATGTTTTTATTTAATATTTTATACTTTTAGGAGATTTTATGGTACTAAATTACATTTATGGAATATAATTTATTCCATTTATTACCTTTTGACCACTTAATAAGCATAGAGCTTAAACTGTCGTGAATTTTGTAAATTAAAAAAATTGTACGTTTCATACCATTCCGATGAAGTGAAGATTCTAAAAGCCAAAAAGTTTACATTTTTGGTCAGAAATGACCGAGGGTTAATCAGAAATGATCATTAACTGGAGCACTGAGTGATATTTCAAAGTGATTTCCGTCATTTTTGCAGATAACAAATACTGCATGTACCTGGTTTAGAAACATTCCAGTAAACACTGCTAATAGGAATTTAGAAGTGAAATACATTTTAAAGCATCCGTTTGGGGGAAAAAAAAAAGACGTGAGGATTTGGGGAAAAAAACAAGATTCTTAGTGCATTCCAGTGAACTATTCAAGGGATATCTTGTAAATTAAATAAGGAGAGCAGACCACAGATGCGCAGCACGTGTTGTCTTTTTTCATATTGTTACAGCAGAAAACAAATGAAAAAAGAAAATAATCAGAGAAAAAAGATGCAGCAGAGTGAGCAGAGCTCTTGCCATAAATATTCCTCTTGCTACATTAAAATACAAAGCATTACGTTATTCTCCTGACGTCTGAAAAAAGAACATGAAGGAACATTTACAGCTCGTTCAGTTATTTGTAGTGCAACTTTATGATTTGAAATGATTCGTTTCGCTCTTTTTGAGTAGAACTTCCCCAAGCTGGAAGTGCCTCCCATAATTTAAAATGCATTAGTCTCGTTAGGAAAAATGTGGATATCTACAAATAAATCCAGCTGTTCTCACCTCTCCTTTAAGTCTTTTGTAGAGTCGGCGGGCGATCATGCCCCTCGTATACGCCTGGATGGTGATGACGGCCCAGAGGCGGTGTCGAAACGCCCGGCGCACCAGGTGTCCTCTGCAGCGGCCCTGGAAAAGAGTGATTCTCTGTCGTGCGATGTGGTACGTCTGGTAGAGTTTGCGAGAGCGATACAACGCCTGCAGACGTGAGAAACCACCGCGCATCTACGAGACAAGAAATGAGTGTTAGATACTGCTAGTGAGTGCAGCAACTGTGCATAGTTGTACATGAGTATATCTGAGACCAACCGCTCCATAGTTCTTCCGACAGTAATAACCCCTCCATGTTTTCTGGATCAACATGGCTGATTTCTTCATCTTCAGGAAGTTGGATCTGTGGGAAACATGACAATGTTTTTAATTATGTCTGATGCACGTTTCAGCACAAAACCCTGCATCTTAAGGAACGATCACACCAAAAACATCTATAATACCTATAATGATAATGAATTATAATAACTGTAACTATAAAGTTTGAATAATCATTTTAATTCTATGAGGATAGGAAAGTCCACACTGCAACTATAACGATAACAACACAGAAGAGCCATATAATCGGGAATCACTCTGCAGAATTTTTTTTTTTTCCAGATGATGAACGATAAAAACATTGACAGCCAGTCAGACAGTGTTGCCAAGTCCGCAGTTTTCCCACGGAATTGGGCTACTTTAACACTGTTGCCGCGGGTTGTTTTTCCATGTCCGCAGGTTGGAGAGACCCCAATAACATGATATTTAGCCCCTAAACTGCGAATTTTACTAGGGGAACCCAAAAAAAACGTGTATTTTATCCCCCGGAACTCAATTTTTATCGGGGGACCCTTCTCGAAACACGATTGGGCTAGTTTTGAGTAGCAATTGGGCGGGTTTTGTTGTGAAAACCTGGCAACCCTGCAGTCAGAATTAAAGGGTTAGTTCACCCAAAAATGAATATTCTGTCATTAATACGAGAATACTTTTTTGCGCAAAGAAAACAAAAATAACGACTTTATTCCACATTTTCGTCTCTACTTGTGCTCACTTGTGGACGCGCGTTCACGACAGTATCATGACTCGAGCGTGTGGCGGCGCTGACCCAGATCTGCTTTGTCGATCATCTTGGTACTTTTCTGAACCTTGAACGTGGTAGTTACCTTGCTGTCTATGGGAGGGTCAGAGAGCCCTCAGATTTCATCAGAAATATCTTAAATTGTGCTCCGAAGATGAATGAAGGTCTTACGGGTTTGGAACAACACGAGGGTGAGTAATTAATTACAGAATTTTCATTTTTGGGTGAACTAACCCTTTAACTTGGCGCACTTAAAGCAGCAGACGAGAAAAAAATCGTACACACTTTTTTTGGTACGGATGCTAATATCGTTCTCTAATGGTTCGTCTGGTCAGAGGAGAACTGGCCCCCCGACTGAGCCTGGTTTCTCCCAAGGTTTTTTCTCCATTCTGTCACTGATGGAGTTTTGGTTCCTTGCCGCTGTCGCCTCTGGCTTGCTTAGTTGGGGACACTTCATTTCCAGCGATACCGTTGACTTGATTGCAAAGATACTATTTAAACTGAGCTGGATGTTGACCACTGAATTCAATGATGAACTGTCTTTAACTGAAAAATTAGTGTTTACTATTGTCATTTTGCATTATTGACACACTATTTTCCTAATTAATGCTGTTCAGTTGCTTTGACACAATCTGTATTGTTAAAAGCGCTATATAAATAAAGGTGACTTGACTTGACTTGACTTTATAGTTACCGTTCTTCGTGAACAAACCTTTAATCATGAACCACCTTCAACTAGTGATGCACCGAGATTTTGGCTGAAAAATAATTTGGTTTCAGCTGAAATAGTTCTGGAGGGTTGAAATTATTGACCAAAACTCCATTGAAGCATTTTGACTGTGTGCCAAGTCAAATTGGGCTGTTAATTATTTTAAATGTTTGATTTTTTTTCATACGTTAAAGGTTTGAAGACTTGCATAAATTATTTTTGACTGAAATGCTTGTATTGAAATATTTTATGCAAATTTATTTTCTACCTATGATAAAAATGTGCTAGATGACTGATAGGGAAATGTATGGAAGGCGGTTTCCGCCACTGAATCAAAAATAAAAAAAGGTAATTGCGACTTTTTATCTCACAATTCTGACTTTTTTCCACAGAATTGCGTGATATAAATTTGCAATTGCGAGTTAAAAAGTAATAATTGTGAGATATAAACTAGCAATTGCAAGACAAAGTTGCAATTCTGAGAAATAAAGTCAAAACTGTGAGATATAAACTCGCAATTGCGAGAAAAAGTCAGAATTGCAAGTTTTTATCTCGCAATTCTGACTTTATAATTTGCAATTGCGAGTTTATATCTCACAATTCTGTGGAAAAAAGTCAGAATTGTGAGATAAAAAGTCGCAATAACCTTTTTTTTTTTTTTTTTTCAGTGGCGGAAACGGCCTTCCATAGAAATGTACAACAAGGACCAAGAAAGAGAAGATTAGCATCAGAACAAGATCTTAAAACTAGTGCATTTTCAAATAGTTCAAAAATAAAGGATTACCACATCCACCAAAGGATTTTATTCACCGCCTGTCAATCTTGAGGTATTTATGAAACCATATTATCTTTATGATTACTACGTTTTCAAGTTGAAATGATGTGTAATGCATAACAGTGACTGTAAAATATGTATTTTGAGGATTTGGACTGGTTTTACTGGTCATTGGGCTAGTTTTGTTACACAGATCTGGCAACCCTGTTTTGTGCACAAAAATGCAAAAAAAGTATAAAAAAAGTAAATTATTGAGGGGTGACTCACTGTTGAAGAACTTTATTACAACTAGAACACAACACCCTGAACAGCATTTTTAGTTACATTCATTTACTGAAACTATGTTCCATTTTGGTTTTCCATTTTCATTTCAGCTAATGAAAACTTTAATTTCAGTTTCGGTAAAAAAATTAATTTCGGTGCATCGCTAGTTTAAACAGGTACTATCTGCACTGGTATAAATTTGTGACATGGGTTCTTAAATTAAAATATCATCAGCTTTTCAGTGCAAACCTTTCTATGCAAATGAAGCGCATTATAGTTTGCCCATTAATCAAAAAAAGTCAAAACTACTTTCCTGGCACAATTAAAGCAAAAAGCATGTATTTTTACCTAATTTAAAGCGATCACGTCAGTAGCAATTCATCAAATGATGATCAAATGATTTCTGTGGTGTGCTTGTGCTCTTTTCTGATTTGCAGAGGCGAATCAAACAACACAGAGCACGTATGCAACTAAACTAATAATATTTAGCATATTCCCCCAGAGTTCCTGCAGCACAAACTCTTACCTGTCCTTGAATCCTCGGACAACTTTCTGAATGAGAATGACCTTATCAGTTATGGCCTTGTCTCTCTCGATTTCCAGCAGCATGTCATGATGGTCCTGCCAAACGTAGAGAGGCATTTAAAGGAGATCTAAATGAACTCAAACACACTCCTGTGATGCTCCATTAATCATCAGATCATTTAGTAAGCCTCATATTGATCTGGATCTCTCCTGATCCTCCTGGTGTCCTTACTTCCTGTCACTGTCCTCTCTTCCTTCCTGCCCAGTGGGATTTCCTGTTTCAGAGAGCTGGAAGGTGTGATAAAACCCACTGCCTGGAAAACTGGCCCTGACAGTTTAGTAATGGACAAGCTAGTTCCTGATCTTTGACCTCTGGCTGAGGGCAGCGTTTCCGGCAGCACAAAAACACCAGAATATTGAGGTCAATATTGTTTGAGTTTGACTCTGCTGCATAAAATCCCCCGACACGCTTTTAACAGCAACAACAATGAGCTTATTTTTCCAGGAACTAAGCACAGAATCAGAGAGTTTTTATTTATTGTTTAAATATTCCCTTCTGCTGTTGATAGTGAAGAAAAGTTCATAAATGGACTTATCCTTTTATCAGTAGTCGGTAGTTTTATCAAAATATTAGTCCTCTTTTTAATACCTTCAAGAATATCTTGGTCTTTCCCATCTGCCAGTCATCATCACGGCCCAATACGGCTTCAGCGATACGCTGACAGGTTCCTCTCAGGTCCTCCTAAAGGAAGAAGTGCCCAAAATTGTCAAAAAACAATAAGAATATGTTGGGATATGACAAATTGTTTGGTGAATATAAAGATAAATCTATTTATTTTATATTTTAGTATATAAAGTACCAATCAAAGGTTTGGGGTCAGAATGATATTTCAATGTTTTTGAAAGAAGTCTTACGCTAATTGATCAAAAATACAATATAAACAGTAATATTGTGAAATATTATTACAATTTATGATAACGGTTTTCTATGTAAATACATTTTTAAAATGTATTTTATTCCTGATTTATTATTAATTTGTAATGAAAAAAAAAAAATTACTGACCCCAGACTTAATACAGTAGTGCACATAAATTGTAAAATGTTCATATATATATATATACATATCAACATATATATCAACACATATATATATATATATATATATATATATATATATATATTAGTAAGACTAATATTTAAATATTATTATATTTATTTCATATTATTACATATTATAACAATTATCACACTGTAGGTTTAACATAATTTAACATAAATTCACATCATTAATTAATAGTAGGGACTTGTCTTATTTACTTTCAGTGCATTCATATTTAAAATACAAAAATGATGTTTTTTTTTTCTTTGATGTCAGTACAATTCAGAAAAAAAATAAAAAAATAAAAGTGTCATATACAATTTCCATTAACCAAAACAAAGACTTTATCAGAACAAAACGATGGATATTAAGGACACAACAATGCCATTTACATGTGAAAAATATGTAGTACATAAAGACTATAGTCACACTATAGGACACTGCATTTTCCCTAGACAGTGAATTCCTTTTCTTTTCTCTTCTTTTCTATTTATTTATTATTTTACACCATATCAGCCTCAAATACTATATTGCTGGAGTCCATGAACTCACCTGTTTGTAAGCAGGTTTCACTCCAGGCATCAAAACACGGTATCTGTCCACGAACTCAACGAAAGTGTAGCGAATGGGGTATCCAGCCCGGCGAATCCGGATGGTTTCCATCATCCCAGAATACCGCAGCTGCCGCACACACAGCTCACGATCGAAGAGCTGGAGATCACATGATAACATAACATCTAAACGTGCATAAAATGATCATTAGTAAAACTTTATTTAATCTTTGCAATGTTTACTTCATTGACAGAGGTTATTATAATTTATAAAATAAGAGGGGGGAAATAAATGCAACATTTAAAAGCAAAAAATCTGCCAACATAATTTCTATACTGACAATTTTCTGAGTTATGAAAGTGTCATTCTCCATTAACTACAGTTAAGTTATGGTTTAGCATTCCAGTAATGCGGGTTTAGCTCACCATGGGTTTCTTGAACTCGTTGGGTTTGATGCAGCGGACGAAGAACGGCTGACAGACGCTCAGTGTGCGCATCAGCAGCTCCAGAGAGCGCTTGAACTGACTGCTCAGGGTCGGCGAACGCTTTCTGGTCTCCGCCCCCTGTGTGTCAGGAAACACACACACACACACACACACACACACACACACACACACACACACACACACACAGAGGAACATGCACTTTTAAAAAGAAGGCCAAGAATAGTGGTGAGCAGAGGTCAGGATTGCTTTTAGGGTGAACCTGTCATGAAACGGCTTGGTCATTTTGATTTGAAACTTTTGCTTGTTTTCTTTCACCCTCAAACGGGAAATGGTTTCACATCAGGAACTGTGTTTGACAGATATATTTTCTGGAGAGATGCAGGTCAAATTATTTCTGTCTACTTTGGAGAACAAAAAAGGTGGAAAGGGTTGTGTCATAAAAAAGTGATGAAATGTTTCTTGAGCAGCAAATCAGCATATTAGACTGATTTCTGAAGATTAACCCCAAAAATGCATCCTTGGTGTGTATAAGAGATTTCTTTCAAAAACTTTGAAAAAAGTAATTTGCCCATTATATCATCTACCAGGCAAACATCTGATCAGTTAGAATAGAAATAGCACTCTAGTATAAGGTTAGCAATTTTTATTTCACTTTAATTTATTAGTAAATAATGATGCATCATGACATACATAAGCACTAATACTCACTCATATTTCATCTTAGCAAACTGAAACACTGGAAGCATGTGCAGTGAATGTGCTGTTAACAGCATCAACTATGCATTAGTTACTGTAAACTACTACTCTTTTACCACGGTTTTACCTTATGGTGTGAACCTGGTTTGCCAAGACTGTCACCAGACACATAACCACACAAAAACTGCCACCACATTTCACAAACACAGAAAGAGGGAAGCATGTACAGTAACCAGTCCATCCTTAATGTTAAAAATCTATTTTAATTCTCAAAGGTATTTCACTTTCAAAAAGTACTACGGTAATACCACAGTTTTAAGATTTTCTGAAGTGCAGTGGTGTATGAATATAGTAATCGTACAGCACAATTGTCTATTTCAAAGTACCATGGTATTACCATCTGATAGCATATAATGTCTTACTCACTTGTGAGGGAGTGTGGAGATAATAATGTAGTGCTTATAGTAAAGTCTATAAATGAGATGCAGACGTTACCATAGCAACGTCCGCCTGAAAGATCTGCTTGATGAACTTGTTTTTGGAGGAGTGGACGAGCTGAATGATGTCACCGTGCAGCGTGTCTCGATTCTTCTCCAGAAAACCTGCACAGACACACAAAAGCATTAGCAAGCACATTAACTAATAACTAGATCCTTGTTAGGATGCTCTGGGTGTTGCGAGGTGCTTTTTTCTATGAAGTTTCTAGGCTATTCTGCTCTCTAGATATGGCACAAGTGTAAATTTGTGGGATTTTTCAGCTGTTTTACATTTATGCATTTGGCATTATATTATATTATATTATATTATATTATATTATATTATAAGGCCTAAATTTAAGATTTATTCATTTGATATACATAGACTATTTGCTATTTTCAAAATGCATTTATTCAAAACAATTAAATTTATTCATTTAAAAAATATGAAGTATGGTTGAAATATGGCTAGCTGTGGAACAACAAGCAATATTTAGTTCGTTTTTTTTTATCAAAACAAATTGGGTTAATTGATGATAAACCTGGTTACTGTGTATTTAAAACACATTTAGTTTATTAGTACTATTACAGAAATCTTATGTTTCATATTGATTTTGACTGACAAAATATACATCACATTATGTTTATTAGTTTATTTATTAAAACTGTGTAATCCAAATGAATGGGAGTTTTATATGCAATTCCAATACATAAATCTTGAATGTAAGTATTTGTTTGAGTGTTGCTGTAGAAAGACATTGATTTATAATGTGTGTGTGTGTGTGTGTTCAGCCGGCAGTGCTGCAGTCTCTCCACATGGTGGCGCTGGAGGG